CCCCTCCGCGCAGGCCCCACGCCCCCCAACACCGCTCCCTCCTGCGCTTCAACTCCGTGCAAACACATGGCAAAGTGAGCCGGGTCACTCAGCCGCTAAACAGAAAATCGAAAAAGCCAAGAAAGATCTCCATCAACGGCTAAGAAAGAATTAAATCCCCCCCGGAGGAAAAAAAAATCAACAAACAACAACCAAACAAATAGAAAGTACCAATAATCCTAATCTTTTCCCAGATCAAGGCTCTTATCCCGCGACTTGCATTTGATCTCTTCTCATGTGCTCGCTACCTACCACTCAAATCCCATTTTCTATACATTTCCACCATTCGCAGCTCGTCCCACGCTTGGAAATGAAAAAGTAATTGCAAGGATAAGAAGAGTAAGAATAAAAAGTCCCTGTCCTTCCCGGCTTGGGTTAAAAAGGAGAAGTAGCGACATGCAAATTACAGGCAAATTGGAAGAGACAAAAAGCAAGGCAGCTATAATAAACAGGACAAAGAGGAGGCTCGGAGGAGCGGAGCAGGAGTTTAAAGCGGAGATGGGGAACTTCGGCGCGCACGGGGGTAGAAAGAAGCTCGGAACAACAACAAGAAGCCAAATACTCTCTGCGCTTTCCGTCCCCGCAAAACTGCCCTCCAACCCACGGAATAAAATAAAGAGCGGTCCACAAAAGGTGGCAACGAGAGAGCGAAGGGGAAGGGGGGGGAAGGATCACCTAACAACGAGCAGGTCACTTACTCTTCAGCCCTGGGCAGGCTACGGTGAGCGCTCCATCAGGCTCCTTACCGCTCACAAATCCTTACCGCTTTATCTACCGGGGAATTAAAACTACTCAGCTAATAAAGTCACTGCAATTTTGCCCCCTGGAAAAAGAAGCACAGGTTTGATAACGGTGATCAATATTTTGTTGGGGATTTCATCACTGTCCCCCTCCCCCCGGACCATTTAGAGCAGCCCAAGCAAGTGCGAATTTAGGAAAAAAAAAAAAAATTAAAAACTCCGAAAGACCTGAAAAGGCCGAGAAAGCGGGGAGGGACGGAGGGGGCGCGGAGGGGGAGCGGGTACTTACTCGGTGCAAAGGCGACGAAACTGAGCCTCGCTTTTTTTTTTTTGCCGGTGGAACGAGAGAAAGGGCGACACGCACACGCACATGCACACACACCACACGCGCCCCGCACACGCACACGCGGACCTGGGCTGGGCTGGCCGAGCCGAGCAGCGCTCCGCACCGCCACAAGATTTACTTTAAGACACAGCTGAAGGAAACAGGAAGACTAGACGTCACACTCGGAGTGACGTGGGCCCGGCCCGGCGCCCAATCGGGAGGCTCCTTGGGACGGACGGGGGGGACGGGGAGAACTTGGCAGGAACGGGGAGAGAGGAGAGGGGAGCGCGGGGGGGTTAGGGTCGCCCCGCCCCGTCCCCGCGGGAAGGTGGCGGCGGCCGCGCACCTGCGGCGGGGACGGACGGACGGACGGACGGACGCGGGGCGGGAGCGCCGGCAGAAGCGGCCCGACGGGGCGCCCCACTCACCTCTGCCGCGCACCGGCAAGGGGCGGACAACAGCCGCCCCACGTGTAGAGGGGTGGGTGACAAACTATAGGAGAGTCACCCCCGCGTGGGTGGGGGCTGCTCTGCGGTGCCCCGTGCGATAAAGTTTTCCATGCGAGAAAGCTTCCGCAGAGCGGTGTCGGGGCCCCAGGGTGCGCCTCTTTCGCGCGTAAAGCATCGGGCGGTGGAGCAAACCCGCGGCTGCGGGCGCTGCCGCCCCACGCGGGTCACAAACTTCAGGAGGAACGGGCCCGCGGCCGCCCAGCCCGCGGCACGGCGTCCCTCGCCGCCGCTCAGTGGCAGCGGCTCCGCCGCGCGTCGCGGGGCTGTCAGCAGCAGCTGCGCGGGCATTTTCCACGTGGGAGGCAGGAAATAAACACGAAATCGAGCATCAGGTTGCGGCGCGTGGAACAACCGGTGGTACTGAGACACGGGTCTTCGCTGCTGGCGGTCCCGGCCCCTGCGCAGCACGACCCAAGTTTAGCTCAACTTAACCCTATCCCATCCCTCTCCCGGCCGGCTCCGGGAGGAAAAAATTGGGAGATAAAGAAAACCACAATAGTGGATCTCGGCTGGTCTGGGCTGCGCTCCGGACCGTAACCTGTCGGGCGCGCTCTGTCCCGCCTGACCGCGGCTTTCCGCGGCGCGGGACAGGGAGCACCCGCACCCCTGCCCCTGCCGCTGCGGAGATTTACCCGGCCGCTGCCGGCGGGGAGGCGAGGCTGAACGAGGGGAAACAGCCTCAGGCTTGCGGACAGCGGGGGATACACCAGGGAGAGGGAATAAAGTCTTGCGGAGGGCCGAGAGGCAGCGGAGCGCTGCAGGGCGCTCGGCGACAGGTAAGGACGGCGCTGCCTCGCCGGGCCCGTCCGCCCGCGCCCGCCCCTCGGGGCGGCGGCAGAGTCCCGAGTGGAGGGGAGAGCCCCGATGGGGAGAGGGCAGCCAGGGCAGGCGCACCAAAACTTGTGCTGCCACTCTGTGCCAGCGGCGAGGGGTCGGGCCGCACGTCGACCCCAGCTCGCCCTGTTGCTGGTGCCGCCGCTGAGGCGGGCAGCTGATCCACTAGTCCCGCTTCCACTGGGAAGATCCGTCTCACTAGAAGGGAGCCGCGGCGCCGGGCCCCACGCCTTGGTGCGGGCAGCAGGCTGTGCTGAGAGGACTGCCCTCCATGCCAGAAGTTTGGGAGCCGGCCCGGGCAGCAAACCCGCCCTACGGGGCCAGCCCTGCCCCGTCCGCTCCGCTGTGCCCGCCGCCGGGACCCGGCTGGCCGCCGCCTCGGGCCGGGGGGCGGCTCCGCGGTGCCTCCGCGGCGGGAAGCGGGGTCACTAACGCGGGTGCATGAGTAACTCGACTAGCCACCGCAACCGATCTCTAAGAAATCGCCCGGGACCGGCTGAAGGGACTGCCGGAGCTGTCGCAGGGGAGCTGGTCAGAGTTAAAAAAATTACATGTCCCTGCCGGTGTCGGGATCGCGAGGAGATGCGGCCGGCCGCGCTCGCCCTAGAGCCCGGTACCCGTGCGAGGCGAAACCTTCGGCGGCGGCGGCGCCCGGCCCGTCGGGGCTCGCAAGGCAGCAGGCGGGTGGCGGCCCGGCCGCTCGGGGCTCCCCGGCTCCGCGGCACTGAGAGAGCCCCTCCTCGGGGCCGGGGACCCTCGCAAAAGCCCTGCTGTGCCGTGTCGCCTTCCGAAGGCCGGCCCGGAGCCGACGCTGGCCGGCCCCGCGCTGTGAGTGACTACGAATCCCCGGTGTAACGGGGCGCACCCCGGGATGCTGCGCTGCTGTCGCTTTGCTCCTGCAATCCGAGCGCGCATTGGTGCCCGGTGCCCGGCCCAGGCCCGCTAAAGTGCCGTGACGGCTTTGCCGAGAATTATTTTAACGTGACATCTTTCGAAACAGGGGCACCGGGCCCTCCGCCGCCGGGGAGCGATGGGGCTGGGGTGGCCCGACAGAGAGCGGCCGCGGCTGCGCTGCGCTCCGCGGGCGCGGAGGGGCGGCACGGCCGGCCCGGGGCAGGTTCCCGCCTGCTCTTTCGGGGCTCGGTTGGCCGGGTGTAGCTGTAAGTGCTGCAGGGGCTGCGAAACAAGGGTGCAGATTTGCGTCTGGACACAGGGGGAGATGGTCTAAATTTGGCGGGGGAATGTCTCGCTTGGACGCTTTCCTTCTTCTCTTTTTTTCCCCCCCTTTTTTGTTTTGTTTGTTTGTTGTTTTAAAAGACACCGAGATACTCGTAGAGAAGAAGCTGAGCCGTGCAAATGCAAATAAATAAGTAAATAGCTGCCTCTGACACTGTGCTTCTCACCACCGGGGCTCACCTTAACTTCAACTACTGTTAATTTACCCAAAAGGGAAACTGAGGCTCTGGGAGTGAAGCGATGTCCCCAGGGTCACATGGCAGAGCGGTGGCAGCCAGTCTGGCCTCAGGCGTGTGCGCAGGCTTCCACCTATCCTCCAGCCCAGATGCCTCGGTTCCGTGGCTGCTTGCAGGTTGCCTTCCTCCAGCCCTGTGTCTTGCAACTTTTCCAAGTCTATATACACGGGCCCTACGATCTGTCACACCAGTAAGCAACTGGAATGAAATTCTCACTTCCCACTCCACTGCCATCTCGGGCGCTGAGTGATCCAGACCCTCTTAATCCTGGAGGATAGGCAGACAGCCTCTTAAGGAATGCAAGCTGATTCAAAGCTCAGCATTAAAAGTAATCCCCCACCCACCACCCAAATTTTAGAGTTGGAGGAAAAGCTTTTTTCCCCTTAATAATTTAATCTCTCAGAAGGCATCCATGCCAGCAGCTGATGCTCAGGATCTGTAGCAAGCAAAGCCATCCCTGCTGCCTTCTCTGGGACCTGGTGGCTTGGGCAGTGGCTGGGCAGCCTCTGGTCTGGTGTGTGTGGCTGTTTCTATACCTCACTGCTCCCAGCTGAACACCAGCAACTGTGGTCCCTGCTAGCAATATGTCATAGATTCCAGTCTGTCTGTGAACTCCTGTAGAAGTCCAGGGTCTTTTTCCTAGTAATTAGTAGGCTGTAAGGTAGACACTAGTCCTCTTCTTGGCCATTACTAGATTACTTATGAGGCAGTTACACTGTTTGCTTTCTAAGTTATGGTGTTTTGGATCCAAACGAAAAGTAATCAGTGTTCACAAAGTTTGGATGCAAAGCCTGAGTGTGCTCAGGTTTGTGGGTTCTCTTCTGCTCTGCTTAATGCTTGGTGTGTGTCACAAACTTCAGGTCAAAGTACTTCAGATATGAGGGTTGTCAGTTCTGTGTCTCCAAATTTTGGTGCCTCTGAAAAGTTTTGCTGCAAGTTGATGGCTTTCTGTGCTTGCATTCCAGTTTTTTTTTTAAAGGAAAAAAAAACAAACAAACAAACAGATGCAAGAAACTTGGAAAACTTTTGCAGTGTGCCCATGACCATGAGTGATTCCTCTGCCCCTTTGGAGTCTGACAACAAAATTGGAAGTGACAGGGGTATATTGTTGAAACTGCCTTTTCTTTGATCATTTTCCTTGCTGTGTCTGTTCCAACTAAATGAGGGAACAGGGCTACGAACACATATCAGGCTTTCTTTTTTATTTTCTTTCTTCTTGTCTCTTTTTTTTCAGGGGTGGGAAAGGTCCAAGTATTCTTGGGCATAAAAAGAACATCCCACAACCACAAAGGCCTGATTCTGCTCTTATACAGATGTAAATTAAAAAGAATTATACTGATATCAACAAAGCATCATCAGTCTGTGTGAGAAAGAGAACCATGTACCTGATGTGTGCAATTGCTGAATTTAGAGCCTTTCCTTGCTTTCCTTTGCCTGGCTTCTCATTTCAAAAGCAAAACCTTTGGAGGAAAATGCCTTTAACCTGGAGAATGAATACAGCCTAGGTGATTCAGCAGAGTGAAATTTAATTCAAGGAGCTGGTATTGAAGGAAATAGAATTGTTAAAAAATAAAATAATTAAAAAAAAAAAGTCACAACCTCTAGAGAGGAGAAAGTGAACTAAACTAATCCTATTAAACATGGTAGCATGTTTCTGTGCAGCTCACTGAGAGATTAAGCACAGGAAAAGGGATAAGTGCTGCTTCAGTTTCACTAAACTAATGTGACAACTTGTCATTGGAAATCTTTACAGCTTGTTAGCAGATGACTAGCTGATTCAGATATGTTTTCTACCATTTCCTTTGTGTCTGGGGGTGATGTTTTTTTCTTTCCTGTTCCTTTCTTATCCATACTGCTTTATTTTGCTTTTTAATCCTTCATGTCTCCTTCAAGTCAAAACATTTAACTTGCTTTAATCAATATTTTGTTTTGAAGATGTCCCTTGACCTTTTGTTTGTGCAAATTAACCTTCAAGGGCAACTCATTCATTCATTAACCTCTGTGGGATGCCATATCCCTTGTACATGGCATTTTAGGATGCATAAAACATTTATGAATGTTTAGACATATTGCAGTGAATGACTGTAATACTGCTGTGGTTACTACTGCTGCTTCTATAATATATTAATTTTTCTCCCATCTCCTTCTTTCTTTCACTCTTATTATTTCTTTTGTATTTTTCTCTTTTTTTCTTTTTAAATATTTTTCTTTCTTTCTTCCTCATCATTTCTTTCTTTTCTTTTCTTTTCTTTTCTTTTCTTTTCTTTTCTTTTCTTTTCTTTTCTTTTCTTTTCTTTTCTTTTCTTTTCTTTTCTTTTCTTTTCTCCTCTCTCTTTCTTTTTTCTTACTTCGATTGTTTAAGTTGTCAAGAAAAATAGCTAATCTGGGAGAAGTGTTAGCATTAGCAATTTCATTTCAAAAGCAGGTGCTACAATGATTTAGAAACTTATGCTGACTCTTCTCTTCTCTTCTCTTCTCTTCTCTTCTCTTCTCTTCTCTTCTCTTCTCTTCTCTTCTCTTCTCTTCTCTTCTCTCTTCTCTTCTCCCACCCTTCACTCTTTCCCTTGGCCCTCCCCCACCAGCAAAGGCATGATCGTTGAGTAAATGGAAAAAAACATTTTGCAACATTAAAGGAAGGCTGTTTAGAAAAGGAAGGCCCTGCTGAGGTGTAGAGGAAGCCTGTTTATTAACACTGGACACCTCTTATCTCAGGCAGCTCCAGATGGATGTCCCTTTGGTAATTCCCACTCTGTGCCAAGTGGGGTTAAACAGGGTAACCACCTTGACGTGGGCTGGTGATCACCAGGGGATCATTGGCTCCTTCAGAGAAAAATTTTAGATGAAATTTAGGGTGGGGGAGGGAGAACCGTAAGACTTCAGCATATGCTTGCACGTGGCCAGATTTACCTTTGTGGCTGTAAATTGCTTGCTGCCTGGTCCAGAGCCAGGTTTTGATTGAGAGATAAAGTAGTTCAAATCTGTCAATAATTAACTGTCACTCAATTAAGGCTTTCTTAACAAATTAGCACTTGGTAGCACCTAGGGTGCAGGTTTTTCATGGGAAAAGGCTGATGATGTTGGCCATTAAGTTTGCCCACTGAGTATCAGCTAACGTCCTGCTCAGTTTAAACACTACTGTGTAAATTTGGTGAGTAGGTTCCCAAACTCCATTCCTGCCAGGTTGCTTTTAAGATTAACTGTTTGTGCCCTCCCAGGCTCAACATTGCAGGTCAGTGCTAAATCAGAGAGCTACCACTGATTCATCAGAGCTTCCTGGCTGTCAGCCCTTAAGGAGCACCCTGATGTAAATGGGGCTGTAGGTCTGAATCTACAGAATCTACAGCCCTCCTGATATGCTGCAGGTCCCTTGGAAAGGATGGATCAGAGTTCCATAGGCTGCCTCCAGTGTAAAGCACTGTGCTGTGTTTCTCTCTCACACAGGGCCTTGGTCTCACCCCACCTACTCTTTC